TCTGCCTCCTCCCTGGCATCCCTGACAGGCCCACGTAGCCCCAAAAACAAGGTCTCCGGTTTTGGTTTTCTGAGAGTAATCCAATGCCAGCAGGCCTCCGCTCGTAACAATCCCACAACAGCACAGCTTCGGGAGTGTCCCTTAGACAGGCTGAGACTTCAACTCCCAGATTCCACGTGGCTGTCAAAAGCTGTGTGAAGAGCACTTGAAACCAGAGAAACAACTTAGCTGTGCCATTTCAATCCTTGTTCCTGTGCTGGCAATGAAACAGAGGTCATATGGGGCAAACCAGGCTTTGTGCATCATGATGGTGACAAAGGGTCCTGGCCCGGATCCAGCCCTACATCTTTGCCACGGGAACGTTGCAGGGCTGCGTTTCATGCGTCGAGGAGACAAACCCGGAACAGCCGTGACCGATGCGTTGCTGTAGCTCCACCTTCCTCCTGGAATGGAAACTGGAAACCAAATATCAGACTTTTTAAGAACAAGTTTAAACAAGATCTTTGCCATGAGCCACATTTTTAAATGGGGGTTATTGGTGGTAACGCTAGCCACACCCGGGCAGGAGAAATCTGTTGCTTAAATAGACATGAGCATATATCGCACAAGAAGTGTCCTGCACGCTCTAAATAAGAACTTGCTGCTACTGATGTTCCATCTTCTCAGATGTTTGTAATGCAGTCACAAGCGGCGGCCCCGTTCAGGTTCTGTGCGCGGTGTTATGAATGTACAATAAGAGACAGTCCTTGCCCCAAACCGCTGTCAGTCATTTAGGGTGTGTCTAAACTACATGGCTCCGTCAACATTACACCCGGAATAGCTTATTTCAAAATAAAGAACATCTAAACAGCACTTATTTTGAAATAGAGCACTCTTCCTCTGACTTCCCTTATTCCTCGTACAATGAAAGTTACAAGAGTCAGAGTAAGAAGTCCTCCAGCTTGACATTATTTTGACATTATTTCAAAATAACTGCCTGCTGTGTAGACACAGACTATGGGTATGTCTACACTACAAAGTTAATTCAAACTAACAGCCGGAAGCCACGATTACCGTATATTCTGGCGTATAAGACGACTTTTGATGTTGAAAAACATCCCCCCAAAATCGGGGATCATCTTATACGCCGGGTATGCAGCTTTGCAAAGCCTGGGGGAAGCTGGCGGCAGGGCAGCCCAGGCGTGCCTGGGATGCCCCCCCGCCCGAGCCCCTCCGCGGCTTTGCAAAGCCTTGGGGGAAGCCGGCGGGGGGGGGGGGGGGGGCCGCGGCGCGCCAAACAAACAAATCGACATGGCTCCATCGACGGAGCCATGTAGTCTAGACGTATCCTTACAGATAACCCTTTTGTTGTGCTCAACTGCTGGAATCTTTTTCTTTTGGTCCCTGCCATAACCGTGGTATTGGAATTGTAGTGGAGTGCTGGGGGGGTGTAACGTTTGTCTTCACAGTTTGGCTTGGACCGCAGGAGTACTGGTAGGGTGGCATACTTTTCTTTGGGATTTTTCTTCAGTGTTCATAACACCCAGCTGCAATTGTATCTCCAAAGAACTGCCGAGAGAGGCATTTACACTGGGGTCAGGTACTTCATTGTTCCATTTGTTTCTAGGGGCCCAGAGGACACCTGTTTTGAGTATGGTGTTTTCCCTGCTATCCTGAGCTTCCCTCTTGATTACCCTCTAAGTCCTCCGAAGATGAGGTTCACGTGTGAGATGTTTCATCCGAACAGTAAGTGTGATTCAACAGTTTAAAAAAAAAGACTTTTTAGTACATCATTTTTAAAAGGGGCAACTGTTGTAGCAGGACACCAGGTGTTCTCCCAAAGGCTATTTTCTCTCATTATCCCCAGATCTGGAGTGTGTGGTAGGAGCTCTCCTAGTCACTGGAGGGTTTCTTGTCTTTCTGGGACTGCCTTTTCTCCTGAACTAACTCCTTGTGTGCTTTCCTGGCTATGGTACCGGAAGGACCACTTGAAAGTGGCTCTGTCTTGGGTGGAGGATTCCAGGAATTCTTGCAGGTTTACCACAACTGGATCTTCTCATGGTATCTGCCTTGTGGTGTATGGTTAGAAAAACAATCAGAAGCTGAGGAAGACTCTTCCGTGTGGTTCTATAACTTAAAGTGAGGAATATTCTTGTAAATATAATGCCAGGAATATTTTTAAGAGAAGAAAAAGTGGCATCTGCTGCTCGGAAGGGTTTAATGAGATTCCCGATGTGACCTTCCTGTGAGGCTTGGATTCTTGGACGTGGCTCGAGCGGAGTTTTTTAGTCTCTTAACTGTTCACTGTAATGCCGAGAGATTTGGAGCGTCACTACCACAGTGTTGTCACTGGACTCCTCTCTGGAGGGAGGGGCTTAAAAACTTTCTTCCTAACCATTCTAAGAATGGTAAAGTCCATCTGTTTTAAACACCCGCATTGAAATGCTGCTCCAGGACTCGGTTCTCGTTCCCGAACGGGCTGGTGGCGTTCCGCACAGAGCAGCTGGTTACTGGTGTAATAAGTTATTAAAGCAACTCTGAAAACGTGTGAACCTTTTATTATGACGCAAATTATGTGCCCGGGCCCATCCTCTGCTCTGAAACCATGTGAACCTTTTATTATGATGCAAATTATGTGCCCGGGCCCATCCTCTGATTCATTGAAGTCTGACAACTCTAGAGGGAAAACTGTGGTCGCACCTGCCCTGCGTGCTCCCCGCCCCTCGTACGCAAGCTCTGGAATGTCAACCACTGCACGTTCTGGCTGCGATTTCAGGGCCTGTTGGTGCCATTTTTCATATCCACTCAGGGAATTTGTGTGGCTCCTGGCCTGCGGTGCCCTTCCTGCACGCTAGGGGGTAGTACTCTGTCAGCAAGGGGGTCCTTTGCTCCCCCCAGCACCCTCATCTCCGCCTGATTATCAGGGTTCTAATGCCCTGCCTGCCACCATAGATCCTGGCCTCCCAGTCCAATCCTGTCCAGACCCACCCGGCTTAGCTTTGCGTCATCCATTCTCTTGAGGGGGCTACGATTGTCTACGCCGCAGTGAAAATCCAGCAAGTCAACAAAGCAGTGACCAGCCAAGGGTGATGTTCTTGGGGTGTCAGAGGCTCTTGGGTCCAGTTGCAGAGGAGGAAGGGGGACTAGCAGAGTCTGGTGAGGTGGGGGTGAGTTCCACTATCTCCATCTCTGGTCAGGAAGGAGCATGCTCATGCCTCCTGCAGGTGAGAGTAATTTGGAATGGGTGTGAGGACACTGGAAAATGTTTGGCTCCAGTTTGCTGCCTGCTTTTCACTGGGCGGTTCTCCCTGGGCGTGAGAGCTAATCTTTCCAGCTGCCTCTGTGACCTGAGCCACAGTGATGGCAAGATTAGAGCCTCCCTTCCTGTTTTAGGGGATTTAACAGAGCCCCCACAACTCGTCCAGAAGGGAAAGTGTCCCCTTGGGCGCTGGAGCAGCCGTGTGGAGACAAGGGCTGTGCCGATCTGGTCACCTCGGCACGTAAATCTTTGCTGGGCCGGCGAGCCCCAAGGGCCAAGTGCATCCTTCATCTCCTCTGCTTCCTCTTCAGTTTACCCCGACGGGAGAGTTTGCATCTCCATTCTGCATGCTCCAGGGGATGACCCCATGGGATACGAGAGCAGTGCTGAGCGGTGGAGCCCGGTGCAGAGCGTGGAGAAGATCCTCCTGTCCGTGGTTAGCATGCTAGCAGGTAAGGGCGAGGGTGGCACTTCCGAAGCATGGGTTATGTCTCTACTTTGTCTCTGGGCTGGCAGAGGGCTCAGACCTTGCTCTGCAGCTGCTGATGCCAGAGCAGCCTCCCGCTGCTTCAGTCATGTCCCAGTATCCTACAAAGAGCTAAAAATACCCGGACTCGACCAGGAGCTTGGTGGCTCCAGGTTTGCATGCAGCCTCCCACCCCTCCTCCCCATAGCGGCCTGCGAGACCCCGCTAGTGCTCTCTGCTGTCACGTGTGAAATCAGGGCCCAGCTTTTGTTCCTCACTCTGGTAAGTCACCAAGAGGCCCGTGTTTCTGCTAAGGGAGTAACATGTAACACAGGTGCCTGGCCTGGAGATGGGTTGCAAACCCTTGGCCAGCTAGTAAGTGGAGAAGATAGAAACGTGCGCTGGATGATAACGGAATTTCGGTGCCACGATGCTACTGGGCTAAGGGTGGACTCGGGCCCTAGGGAGGAATTCTAGCCGTATACGCTCAGGGAAGAAGCACTGCAGCAGACTGTAAGCCCAGCATGTCTGTCCGGATGGAAACCCCAAAGCTTTCAGATGAACAAGCAGCAGTGCACTCTGCTTGTGTTATGCTTAAACAAAGCACACGAGATCTTTTATAGGGGAAAAGGCAGGACGCCGCATTTATGGAGAGTACAACAGTAGCACATGCTTTTCAGCCACTCGCGCACACAGACACCACACACACACAAGGCTATTAGCCAGGGGATAAAAGGGTGTCCTTGGCCTCTGTTTGTCAGAGGCTGGAGAGGGATGGCAGGAGACACATCGCTTGATCATTGTCTTTGGTCCACCCTCTCTGGGGCACCTGGTGCTGGCCACTGTCGGTCTGACCCAGTACGGCCGTTCTTACGGGTTAATTTGCATCTAAGGTTTGGGTAACTCGCAAGAGAATTCGTGAGGGCTGCCCCAGCTTGTCACGGAGTGGCCCCAATTCCTTCCCCACAAGCCAGGGCAGGGAGCCAGGACTCCTGGGCCCTGTTCTCAGTGGGGGCCTTAGGAAGTAAGTACGCTCCCCCACTCTCCCCGATTACTTGCTGAGCTCGTGGTAGGTAAACTGAGGCATGGAGACTGACTGTAAAACTCCTGCCTCCCAGGACCTTCCATCCTGAGAGCAGAGTTGGGAGACTCTTCTCTTGGGAGTGAACGGGGTGGGGGGGTGCTGGAGAGAAGTCTGCTTTCATGAAACTCCAGAGCCAGAAACACCCTGCAGTGTTAGAACCTCCACTAATCTTCTGCCTGCCCCCGCAGGGACAAAATACTGTCTCTCTTTAAATACGTGCTGAGCTTCAGCTACAGGCAGGCCTCCCTGGCCCGGCACCCTCGGACCCTTCCTGGTCCCCACCGAGGGGATTTTCTGGACCTCCCGGCCCACTGCCCCGCC